AACCTTACTCTTTATCTAAGAAACATTTGGTCATTTTTGCCTATCCTTGAAACTTCTGAAGCTGTTCAACTCTGGTCTAATGGAAAAACTAGAAATAAACAAACAAAATTAACCTGAAGGACCACCCTTCTAGGACTCTTTAGGTTCTCCAGTGCAATTCTGTGCTCAGTGTCTAGCGGAAGTTGACTAGAGTTATGTTGGAGTTATGTCACATGCAACTCCTGGAACGATTCTATCAATGCTGCCACCGGAAAATCCTGCAAATCTCTTGGGAAGACAGGTGGACAAACGTCAGCGTGCTGGAAGAAGCAAAGACCACCAGCATTGAAGTGATGGTCCTCCGCCATCAATTCCGCTGGACTGGCCACGTTGTCCAGATGCTTGACCACCGTCTCCCAAAGTATTTACTCTACTCCGAACTCAAGCACGGAAAACGGAATGTTGGTGGACAGGAAAAGAGATTTAAAGCTGGGCTCACAACCAACCTTAAAAACTCTGGCATAGACACTGAGAACTGGGAAGCCCTGGCCCTTGAGCGCTCCAGCTGGAGGTCAGCTGTGACCAGCAGTGCTGCAGAATTTGAAGAGGCACGAATGGAGGGTGAAAGAGAGAAACGTGCCAAGAGGAAGGCGTGTCAAGCCAACCCCGACCAGGACCACCTTCCACCTGGAAACCAATGTCCTCACTGCAGAAGAAGATGCAGATAAAGAATAGGGCTTCACAGCCACCTACAGACTCACAAGAATTCTGATCCTGGAAGACTATCCTACTCGGCCAACGAGGGATCACCTAAGTAAGTAAGTAAGTAAGTAAGTAACGTTGGAGGACCTAGAGTTTTCTAGAGAGACCATATTAATCTAATCCATAAATAATTAAATCAGTAAAAGTAAAATCTGCAAGTGCAAAAGGCCGACTTTATAGGCCTTAACATTTCTGATTATTCTACCTATGGATTCTGGGATATGAAGTCTGACACCTCTGATGGGACCGAGATTTCCCTCTGTCAAGGTAAAGTTTCAGATGGCATGTAGGCAAACATTTCCTCCTGCTCATTACTAGAGCTGTTTGGCAATAGAATATGCTGCTTCAGAGCCTGGTGGAGTCTTCTCTGGAGGTGTTTAAGCAGAGGCCGAATGGCCATCTGTTGGGGATGCTTTGATTGTGTCTTCCTGTATGGCAGAAGGGGATTGGACTGGCTGGCCCTTGGGGTCTCTTCCAACTCTAGTATTCTATTATTGCTATAAATCAATGGGAAAAATGCAAGGGCAGGTTGCAGAGTTGGCACTTGTGACAACCACAGCAATGTGCACCACCTATTGTGTCTATCTTTGTGATTCAAAACAAAATGGCAACGGAGAGTAGCTTTTATTTCTGTTACATTGTCAAAAACAGCAAAATTGTCACGTTTACAACACAAGGCATAATCTTTACTTAACAATGAGTGTGTTAGAAGACAAAGCACCAATGCAGGCAATAAACACTTTAATTAGGCAGATGAATTGTCCATTTGAGTTTCATTGACATATCCTGATTTGGCTGCACACTTAATATCACTGGCTGTTTTATTCTTTTAAATTCAGGAAAAATGGTTAAGAGCAGGCATGACATTCGAGTAGTTCTTTACACCCGTGTCTTTAGCAGGATCTGCAAAAATTAGTAAATGATGCCATAGTCTTCTGCAGATCCAGTGGCTGTTAAAGGCACAGGAGCAAAATAACACACACACAATTAGTTGGCATCTTCATACTGCAAAACCGCATTCCTTTCTGAAAAGAGGTAAAATTGTTATGTCCTTTTTAATGAAAGAAAAGCTAGTCATGCTGGCAACTTGCTTGAAGGAAAAGGAAAAAGTCACTGTAAAATAAACGTAAATAGTACAAGTCAAGAAATCCTGGACACAAATACAGCGAGCCCTTGGTTACCACTGGAGTTTGGTTCCAGGATACCAAATCTGCAGATGCTCAACTTCCATTACATACAACGGCATAGTAAAATGGAGTCCCTTATATCAGTGGTTCACAACCTTCCTAATGCCGTGACCTCTTAATACAGTTCCTCATGTTGTGGTGACCCCCAACCATAACATTATTTTTTTGCTACTTCATAACTGCAATTTTGCTACTGTTATGAATCATAATGTAAATATCTGATATGTAGGATGTATTTTCATTCACTGGACCAAATTTGGCACAAATACCCAATTCACCCAAATTTGAATACTGGTGGGGTTGGGGGGTGGATTGATTTTGTCATTTGGGAGTTGTAGTTGCTGGGGTTTATAGTTCCCCTACAATCAAAGAGCATTCTGAACTCCACCAATGATGGAATTGACCCAGTCTTGGCACACAGAACTCCCATGACCAACAGAAAATACTAGAAGGGTTTGGTGGGCACTGACCTTGAACTTGGGAATTGTAGTTCACCTACATCTAGAGAGCACTGTGGACTCAAATAATGGTGGATCTGGACCAAACTTGGCATGGATACTCAATATGCCCAAATGTGAATAGTGGTGGAGCTTGTGGAAAACAGACCTTGACATTTGGGAGTTGTAGTTACTGGGATTTATAGTTCACCTACAATCAAAGAACATTCTGAACCCCACCAATGATAAACTTGGGCCAAACTTCCCACACAGAGCCCCATGGCCAACAATGTGTTTTCTGATGGTCTTTGGTGACCATTCTGACATCCCCTCATGACCACCCCAGAGGCCCTGACCCTCAGGTTGAGAAACACTGCCTTATATCAAATGACAAAATCAATGTTTGCTTTTGGATTTTTTTAAAAAAGTATTTTCAAGTGTTAGATGGTTGAATTGTGGATGCAGATATGGAGGGCTGACTGTATCCCCTGTTTAGGAAAACTCTACGAAATCCATCGTGTTGTCATAAAGTCACAGCCAACTTGAAGGCCGACACATCCATACAAGTGGAAAGAAGGAAAGATTTGCAGATAGGTGATCAAATGTCAGATCTACATTTTAGGACAGCCTTATCCAACATGCCAGTCCTAATGCCTTTGGGATAGATGCAAATTGCCAGGCTGAGGAAGGAAATTTAAAATTATGAAAATATTACATATGATGCTTTTGAGTAAACAAATGGAACTGAACACTAGAGGGCAACAGGAACAACCCAATGAATCATTTTATGTACATCCAATAGTTTCTTTAAAAACTTATGTCAGTTCAACAAAGTAATACATTATGGTCATTGCAACACATTGCATCATGTTAAGATTAAGTGGTTAATTACAAATTATTGACTATCAACAATAATGTATCAATTCTGAAAGCCTTATCTTCCCAGCGCTGACCTGTGTGTATAGTTTTACAGCCCTTCACGCTACAAAATTCTTGCTCTATGATTCCACTTTAACTGCCGTGGCTGTTTCATGGGGTATCCTGGAGTTGACAGTTTAGGAAAGGATGTCTAAAATTCTTAGCCTGATTTTTTTGTCATGCCAGAAGCAACTTGAGAAACTGCAAGTTGCTTCTGGTGTGAGAGAATTGACTGTCTGCAAGGACGTTGCCCAGGGGATGCCCGGATGTTTTGATGTTTTTACCATCCTTGTGGGAGGCTTCTCTCATGTCTCCGCATGAGGAGCTGGAGCTGATAGAGGGAGCTCATCCACGCTCTCCCCAGATTCGAACTTGCGACCTGTCGGTCTTCAGTCCTGCCGGCACAGGGGTTTAACCCACTGCGCCACTGGGGTCTCCTTCAAACTATCAAACTATCCTAGAATCCCATGTCATGTTGCCATGTCATTTAGAGTGGAATCATAGTGGTATAACTGCACAGTGTGACATGGCACTGTGCTACCATGGCTGTTTCATGGGGTATCCTGGAGTTGGCAGTTTAGGAAAGGATGTCTAAAATTCTTAACCTGATTTTTTTGTCATGTCAGAAGCAACTTGAGAAACTGCAAGTCGCTTTTGGTGTGAGAGAATTGACCATCTGCAAGGACGTTGCCCAGGGGACGCCCGGATGTTTTTACGTTTTTACTATCCTTGTGGGAGGCTTCTCTCATGTCCCTGCATGAGGAGCTGGAGCTGATAGAGGGAGCTCATCCACGCTCTCCCTGGATTCGAACCTGCGACCTGTCGGTCTTCAGTCCTGCCGGCTCAGGGGTTTAACCCACTGCGCCACCGGGGGCTCCTTCAAACTATCAAACTATCCTAGAATTCCATGTCATTCAGAGTGGAATCATAGTGGTATAACTGCACAGTGTGACATGGCATTGTGCTACCATCATCCAAACTTGGCCTTTGGTGAAAAAAAACACAATTTACACCTCTGTAATTTGGGAAAAAAATATTATGATGCATGTGATGCATTATTATGCCTTTTTTTTCCTACTCAGCAACATGCCTTGGGTTTCTGCATGTTCTGTCCTTCCCTCAGGGGCGGCTCAACCCATTACGCAAAGTAAGCATTTGTGGTAGAGTTGATTTTGCCCAGGGGCGCTCTTGAGGCGCTTTTGGGGGAAAATAGACGTTGACATATGCGAGTTGTAGTTACTGGGATGTATAGTTCACCTACAATCAAAGAGCATTCTGAACTCCACCAATGATGGAATTGAACCAAATATGGCACACAGAACTCCCACGACGAACAGAAAATATATATCAGTGATTGGTTGGGGGGGACGGGACACCAAAATACTGTTTGCTTACCCTTGAAAATTACCTAGGGCCAGGATTTCGTTTCGGGGGGGGGGCTGAATTTTTTTCAGGGGGGGGTTTCGGGGGGGGGCTGAGTCTGAGTGAAAGAGGGTCTAGCCTAGCAACCCTTTTGTATCATTACCCCAATACCCCCATGCATATGGGATATATTGAGTATGGTGATCAGATCATGATATGAATAAACATAACAGTTTAAATAATGCACCAGTAAGGCCTTTTCGCGAACCACCATGAGAATTTGGGGGGGGCTGAAGCCCCTCAACCCCCCCCCCCCCCCCCGGCTACATGCCTGCCTAGGGCTGCCTCTGCCTTCCCTCCCTCTCCTCTCTTCTGTGCATAGATTCCTGAATCTTCTTCCACTGGCTGATGCTATGAAGTGCAACGAATAGAGACTGCATAGCCCATATGGAGGGATGGATGATGGAGGCCACAGCAGCATCTAGACACACACACATTCCCCAGGCCCTGGCTAGTATGAGGCACAGCAGTAGAGCATTTGATTTGTATCCCAAATATGTTGTAAAATAAGTCAGAAGAAATATGGGGGCAATCTTCCTGCAGAGAAAGGAGGAAATATGAAAAAGTAGCAAGCTTTCGATCACCTGCCCAGGATTAGCAGGCAAATTACCTCTGTACAAGCAGAAGAGAACTGGAACCACAACCCAGTTGAGCCCTTTACACAAAGTAATTTTCTGTGATCACAGAAATGCCATTACCATTATTTTTCCTTCCTGTCACTAGTTCACAGTTTGGAATATCTGCTCACCATGTTGACTAGATGACTCTGGGAGTTGTAGTCCACAAAAGTAACTTGTCCAAGCTCTCTGTAGAAATAACAACCATGACATAATGTTAATTTCTGCCCTGACAGTGTCACATAAGTTAACGGGAGTATTAGATTGATGCGGTATATTTTATTTGTCCCATTGTTTCGAAAATGGATGCTTTTCTTCTTCTATTTCTCAGCCTTCCTATGTTGTCCCCTTATTGAGGTAGCACACCAATAGTGTCCAATAAATTACATTGTTGACCAGCCACAGCCTACTTCAAAATATATGTTGTGTCTTTTGTCCTTCTAACACAGAAGGAAAGCCTGGAGCCACACAATCCAGTCTGAGACCTGGTTTGAGGAAGGGCTAAGCATCTATAAATCGAAACACTTTATAAAAGTCATGTTGGAGTTTCAAAACTTGTGGTGAGAAGAAGAGAAAAACCCTCCATATGGGATAAGGAAATCCCATGTCCCTTCACAGATTACAAAGGGTAAAATATTTTGTTTTCACCATCCATCTTACAATGCATTTGGTTCACATAAGCTCTGAAAAAAATGACACAATGGTATCTAGTAAAGTCAGCATCAGCCCGTGGAGTGTCAGATATCCTTACATATCCCAAGCTGAGACACTAACAGTTTTAGGAGAGCAACCTTTACTGTCAAAATGCTCAACCATCAGCCCATGGTGAGCTGCCCGTCCATTTCTTTTTGGGAATAATCCTGCTTGCAAAAGACTGCTTTGGCCGGATTCAGAGGGCTGTGCCAAGTCACTGCCTTGGACTTCAACAAAAATCCGATTACGTGGCCCAAAAAGCAATCCACTGTTGTTCCTGTCTGAATAGGTGTCTTTATCCCTCTTCTCCATGAAGCAGAGCTTAAATTTGAAGGCCTCTTGGAATCCCCTCCGGAAGTTCTCGTTGAAATACCCATAGATGATTGGGTTAACGCTGCTGTTAAAGAAAGCCAGCCAGTGAGCAAAGGGGAAAAAATAAACTGTAATGAGGTTCAGTTGATACTCCGTTAGGTTCCCATAGTCTGTGAGGAGCATTAAAGTCCATAGGGGCAACCACGAGAGAGTGAAGAACAATGCCACAATGATCAACATGTTGATCACTCTGATTTTCCTCTTGGAGATCCTTCTCCCCTCATTGTCCTCTGACTGCGAGCCGCATATGGGTGCAGATGATTTGAACAGTTTGAAGGCAACACGAGTGTACATTATAACAATGGAAGTGAAAGGAGCGAGGTAAATGTGAGAGAAAAGAATAGTGGTATAGATCTTACGCATCTCCTGGTCTGGCCAGGCTTCCCAGCAGGAGTAGAGTGGGTAGGAATGGTTGAAGGCATCTACCATGAAGTGGTAGTCAACCCTGGTGACGGTCAAGGTGACTGCTGAGGGGCACATAATTATCAGGGCTAAGACCCAGATGATTACAATGGTGATTAGTGCCTTCTTTAGGGTTAACCTCTGCCTGAATGGGTACACAATGCAACGAAATCTGGAAGAGAAAGAAAGGGCCATATTTATTTATTTACTGTATTTGTATACCGCCTTTCTCAGCCATATCGGCGACTCAAGGCCGTTTCCAACAAAACAGTATACATAGTATCACAACACAATTAAAAACATTACAATTACATAAACCACAACAGCAATAAAAATAACATCATTGGCGTCTCCTTATTGTAAAACATTGTCCAGTTCCATCGTCAATCATCGAATTCCTATATCATTTATCCATATACGTTACTTTGTGTTTGTGAATGCTTGCTCAAACAGCCACATTTTGACTTGCTTCCGAAATGTTAAAAGGGAAGGAGCCGATCTGATCTCTCTAGGGAGGGCGTTCCATAGCCGGGGGGCCACTGCTGAGAAGGCTCTGTCTCTCATCCCCGCCAAACGTACTTGTGATGAAGGCGGGACCGAGAGCAGAGCCTCTCCAGACAATCTCAAAGTTCTAGATGGTTCGTAAGGGGAGATACGTTCGTACAGGTAAGTTGGGCCAGAACCATTTAGGGCTTTAAAGGTTAAAACCAGCACTTTGAATTGTGCCCGGTACCACACTGGCAGCCAGTGGAGCTGGCGCAACAGGGGGATTGTATGTTCCCCGAGAGCCGCTCCAGTTAGCAATCTGGCTGCTGTCCATTGGACCAGTAGGAGCTTCCGGACAGTCTTCAAAGGCAACCCCACGTAGAGAGCGTTGCAGTAGTCTATATGGGATGTAACGAGAGCATGGACTACTGTGGCCAAGTCAGACTTCCCAAGGTACGGGCGCAGCTGGCGCACAAGCTTTAATTGTGCGAATGTTCCCCTGGTCACCGCCGAGACCTGGGGTTCCAGGCTCAGCGATGAGTCCAAGATCACACCCAGACTGTGAACCTGCGTCTTCAGGGGGAGTGTAACCCCATCCAACACAGGCTGTAACCCTATACCCTGTTCGGCCTTACGACTGACCAGGAGTACCTCTGTCTTGTCTGGATTCAATTTCAATTTGTTAGCCCTCATCCAGATCATCACAGCAGCCAAACAACGGTTCAGGACCTGAACAGCCTCCTTAGGAGCAGGTGGGAAGGAGAGACAGAGTTGGACGTCATCCGCGTACAGATGACACCGTACCCCGAAACTCCGGATGATCTCCCCCAGCAGTTTCATGTATATGTTGAACATATATTCAGCACTGGACAAGGAACAAGCATTTAGGTCATGATCTGCTATGTATCAAAAGGAGATATATATACTCAAAGGATTTTTTGTAAGGATTTTTGAGGTGCCTTTGATAGTCTCCCCTTATATTGACTGACATTCTGGCAATAATATATGCCTGCATATGTCTTTTTTGTCATTGCAGAGATTGGTATTCTCTTCCTTCCTCTGCAATGACCAAAGCATCCCCGAGTCATTGTTTAGCTGCTTCAGCCCTCTCCAACAGCCATACAATGACTAGGGGAGAGGAGGAGGAACTGGAGAAGCATCCTGTAACCAGACACAATTCTGGTGTTATGTATGGAGATCTCCAAAGAAATCTTGTGGATCTAAGTAGGTAATGTAATCTCATTCAGCATGTGGGTTATAGAACATAGTCAGATGTTTCTCCAATCCTCCTTGCTCTCCTCCACTCAAAGGTTGAAGAGAACTAGAGTGACTGAACGTTGAGTCTGGGTGAGTGGCGGGGAAGAAAAATATAATGTAGTTTATTTATTCCTTTCTTAGCCTATTGGTGACTCAAGGCGGTTTACAACAAGTCAGTATACATAATAGCAAAATACAGATTAAGCATTAAGACAATATAAAACCACAATAAAAACCAACATCATTATCATCAGCATCTCCTGATTAAAAACGTTGTCCAAATTCCATTATCAGTGATGCCATTTCCTATGTCATTTACTCTGCATTTGTAAATGCTTGCTCATATAACCATATCTTAACTTGTCTCCAAAACGTTAAGAGTGAGGGAGCTGATCTAATTTACTTAGGGAGGGCATTCCATAGCCGAGGGGCCACCACAGAGAAGGCCCTGTCTCTCGTCCCTGCCAAACGTACTTGTGATGAAGGCGGGATCGAGAGCAGGGCTTCTCCGGATGATCTTAAAGTCCTAGATGGTTCATAAGGGGAGATGCATTTGGACAGGTAAATTGGGCCAGAACTGTTTAGGGCTTTATAGGTTTTTGCGGGTGATCCTGGAACGTAACACACGCTATAAGTAAATGTGAGATATATATAAGTAAATGTATTATATATATATGTGTGTGTGTTTCACTTTTAAAAGAAAATATACTATTCCAAAAATTTCCATAGCTAATAGGTAGGATTGTTTCTGGGAATAGCTAAAGGCAAGGAATATGCACGGCCACATTGTACTCACTGGGAAATGAAATAGTCCTTTGCCAGACCTTTTAAACTTGATTTCCTCTGCAGGCTACTGATAAACGCTTCTTTCATATATATATATATATATATATATATATATATATATATACATATATATATACACACACACACACACACACACACACACACACACACACACACTAGTCATCCCCTGCCACGCGTTGCTGTGGCCTAGTCTGGTGATCTGGAAAATAAAGTAATGGTTTCTAATATATGTAATTCCTTTATCCTTGTGGGTAAACAGTATTCCTTGTTGTTTCTATGTCAGTGTTGATATGGAGATTGTCTGGTTTGCCTACTCTGGAACATGCAACATGTAATTGTCCTTCTTTAGGGGTCCCTTTCAAATCGATGATACTATATCTGTGTGTGCGCGAATCATATATATCTATCTATATTTATGACTGGATGGCTCTTTGTCAGGAGGGCTTTGATTACATTTTCTTGCCCTGGTGAAGGGAGTTGGACTGGATGGCTGTAAGTATGGTGGTTCTGTGTGGGAAGTTTGCCCCAATTCTGTCGTTGGTAGGGTTCAGCATGCTCTTTGATTGTAGGTGAACTATAAATCCCAGAAACTACAACTCCCAAATGTCAGGGTCTATTTTCCCCAAACTCCACCAGTATTCACATTTGGGCAAATTGAGGATTTGTGTCAAGTTTGGTCCAGATCCATTATTGTTTGTGCTCTCTGGATGTAGGTGAACTACAACTCCCAAACTCAAGGTCAATGCCCACCAAACCCTTCTAGAATTTTCTGTTGGTCATGGGAGTTCTGTGTCCCAAGATTGGTTCAGTTCCATCATTGGTGGAGTTCAGAATGCTCTTTGATTGTAGGTGTGCTATAAATCCCAGCAACTACAACTCCCAAATGACAAAATCAATTTTTTGAGTGAAGGACATACATTGGGTTGTTAGGTGTATGCTGTCCAAATTTGGTGTCAATTCATCCAATGGTTTTTGAGTTCTGTTAATCCCACAAACGAACATTACATTTATTTATATATATATATATATATGAACCTGTTTCAGGAGATTCATCCAAATGTATTTTCACTATGTAATTAAACTTTGGGAAATGTTGTGTATTCTCATATAATACAGCCACTTGGATATATCTGTATTAAAAATTTAATATCCTCCCCTTCAGTTCAACTTAAACTGTCATTCTTGGCATTCTTCTCCCCATGCAGGCATTTTGGATCAGACTGGCATTCAGGCAACTGTTATTATAGCCAGATTGTTTGAAAACCAATCCATATAGGAAGCCAAGCAGAAAGTGGCACAGCTGTCTAGAAATTGGCACAGGTCTGACAAAGCCGCAAGACAAAATATGGCTGTTATCTCTGCACCTGTTACCACCAGCAAAAGAAAAATAAATTAAGTTTCCCTTTTTCATTTTTAATCAATAACATCTTCACTTTTATGTACAGAGAATACGGAGTTGGAGATTATGATGTTCTAGAGCAAGCCTGCACAACTTGAGAGTAATAAGGTACCAAAATTTGATAGTCTAACCTTCTTGGGCTACATAGTTTTTAGCACCTCACTTTCCAAGTAAGATATACTTAATGATTAATTAGAATAGTTGTCGTTGTGGGCCTTCAGGTCATTTCAGACTTAGGATGATCCTATCACAGAGTTTTTGGTACTTCTCCATTATCCAGGAGGAGGCCACCAGGGGGCACTAGAAAGACAAGGATAGTCCATTTTATGGGGTAGAGGTTGGGTTGAAGGAGAAAAACTATTTCCTCCCGTTTTCCTGTAATTCCCCCCACCCATGTCCCCATAGTGCAGTGGTTCTCAACCTGGGGTCCGCAGATGTTTTTGGCCTACAACTCCCAGAAATCCCAGCCCGTTTACCAGCTGTTAGGATTTCTGGGAGTTGAAGGCCAAAAACATCTGGGGACCCCAGGTTGAGGACCACTGCCATAGTGGATGTAACCCTAGTTTATAATATGGGAAGAGGGGAGAAGGAGTAACCAGCAAGAATGGGGGGAAATTGTTTTCCTCCTTCAACTCCCCCCCACCATGGATTATCCTCCTCTCTCTAGCACCCTCTGGTGGTCTCTGCTTGGATAATGGAACAGTACCAAGTTTTTTTGTTAACTTTGTCAACATCTGAGGCTGAGAGAGTGTGACTTGCCTAAAGCCACACAATGGGTTCAGAGCCATAGTTCAGGGTTCAAACCAATACACCATGCTTTCTGAATTCTACCTGACTTTCTTTCTCCCTTTCTTGTTTTTCTTCCTTCCCTCTCTGTTTCCTTCCTCTTTCTTTCTTTCTTTCTTTCTTTCTTTCTTTCTTTCTTTCTTCTCACAAGCTTGTCTTGTGGGCACAAGCGAGAAAGCCTTCTCCTCTGTGGCTTCCCAACTCTGGAACTCATTACCTGGAGAGATCAGGAAAGCCCCTACACTAGAAACGTTCAAAAAGAACCTTAAAACCTGGCTCTTCCACTGCGCCTTTGGTGAGTAGATGCACATCATGACACTATTGCTCCCCTCAACACTTCTGCCACTGGAGTACACACCCTCCAAATGGGAAGTTTAGTTCCACAACCCTGTGTGTTTTTATGAGCTCCCTGCAAATAACCTGCTCCTATTTTTATCTCATTAGAGTTTTTAATCATTTTATCCTGCACATGTGGCCTGCTCACTGTTATCGTGATTGTGTTTATTGGAATGTTATTTTGCTACTGTGTTTATACTTTTTTTTCTATGTAATTTTGATGATGTTGCTTGTTTATGTTCTGGTTTTATTTTGCTGTAACATGTTGTCCGGCCTTGGCCCCATGTAAGCCGCTCCGAGTCCCCATTGGGGAGATGGTGGCGGGGTATAAATAAAGATGATGATGATGATGATGATGATGATTATTATTATTATTATCCCCTCCTCCCCCTATCTTTTTCCTATGTCTTTTTCTTTCTTTTTCTTCCTTTCCATACTGTTCCACTATCTGGACGGAGGGCACAAGGGGGCACCAGAGAGAGAAGGGTAGTCCATTTGGACGGCGGGGGCGTTGAAGGAGGAAAACAATTTCTCCCATTTTTGCTGGTTATTACCCCTTCCCACTTCCCAGGCATGTAGCCAGGGGGAGGGCTTAGGGGGCTTCAGCCCCCCCCTCCCAAATTCTCATGGTGGTCCGCGAGAAGGCCTTACTGGTACATTATTTAAACTGTTATGTTTATTCATATCATGATCTGATCACCATGCTCAATATATCCCATATGCATGGGGGTATTGGGATAACGATACAAAAGGTTTGCTAGGGTAGATCCTCTTTCATTCAGGCTCAGCGCCCCCCCCCCCCCCCCCCCGAAACAAAATCCTGGCTACGGGCCTGCCACTTCCCATTTCATACACCAGGGTTATTTCCATGATGGGGACATGGTTGAGGAATAACAGGAAAATGGGGGGAAATGATTTTCCTTCTTCAACCCATCCTTCACCCCCATAAAATGGACTATGATTCTTTCTCTTGTACTCCCTTGTGGCCTCCGACCGGATAATGCAACAGTAGAGTTCTTTTTCCCCTCCTCCTTCCCTCTCTTTTTCCTACCTCTCTTTATTAATTCATTTCTCCCTTTCCTTTCCCTAACCCTTTCCTTTCCTTTTCTTCTCCTCCTTCCTTCCTTCCTTCCTTCTTCCTTCCTTCCTTCCTTCCTTCCTTCCTTCCTTCCTTCCTTCCTTCCTTCCTTCCTTCCTTCTCAAGGAAATTGGAGATGCAGACTTACCTTTCCACTGCTATGGCTACCAGGGTGAAAACGGAAGCTGAGACAGACATCCCTTGGACGAGCCCACTCATCTTGCACATGGCAATGTCAAATGGCCAGCCTGAAATGATATGCAAGGAACCACAGCAACATATTTATGTCCTAGTTACCAACCGAGAAGAATAGAGTCAAAAACTGAAATGACGACATTATGCTGGGTCCATAGTTACAGTAGACCCAATAAAATTGGTGAGGCTTATTTGATTAATCCTCCAGCAAGGATTTGGAGAGGTAAAGACCCCAAAAGTGACTTACCCAAGCTCTGATTTAAATGGAAATAATCTTATTTGAAATGTAGATTAACCTAGCCATACAATCAGGGAACCATTCAAAGCAGTATTAGTAATAGTAGTAGTAGTAGTAGTAGTAGTAGTAATAATAATAATAATAAAGATAGTGGAAAATGAACATGCAAAAATACTGTAGGGTTTTCAGATCCAGACTGACAAAGTTTTGGAACACAATACACCAGACATCACAATTGTGGAAAAGAAAAGAAGTTTGGATTATTGATGTTGCCATACCAGGTGACAGTCGCATTGAGGAAAAGCAACAGGAAAAACTCAGCCTTTATCGGGACCTCAAAATCGAACTGCAAACGCTCTGGTATAAACCAGCATAGGTGGTCTCAGTGGTCATTGGCACACTGGGTGCCGTGCCAAAAGATCTCAGCTAGCATTTGGAAACAATAAACATCGACAAAATCACAATCTGTCAACTGCAAAAGGCAACCTTACTTGGATCTGCATGCATTATTCGAAAATACATCACACAGTCCTAGACGCTTGGGAAGTGTTCAACTTGTGATTTTGTGATACGAAATCCAGCATATAGATTTGCTGTGACATATTGTGTTTTTCTGTCAGTAAAATAATAATAATAATACTTTATAACACACCTTCTCTCCCCAAAGGAACTTAGGGCAGTTTACAAGAATAATAACATGGCAAACATTCAATGTCAAAGCCAAATAGATAATCAAAACAAAACATAGAATGAAATAACTCAATATAACTTATAACAATCAAACAAGAATTAACCTGGTGAACATAAAACATGAAAAATCATACCAATTAATATACAATACCTTAAAAGCACAATGTAGTATAATATAACATATAGCGTTACGTATCAGCGAGCAGAGATAAATATCTGTTATCAGAGCGGGTGTATGTAGTATGTTACTCCTCCTCTCCATAAGCTCACTTAAATGAGTATGTCTTTAGAAGCTTTTTAAAAGGAGGGGAAAGAGGGTGGCATTTTAGTTATTTCGAAAGGGAGTTCCAGAAGGCCCCCTCTCTCGTTCCCACCAGCTGTGCTTGAGACAGGGGTGGGACTGAGAGCAGGGCCTCCTCCACAGATTGAAGTGCTCATGATGGTTTTTACAAGGAGATATGGTTTTTCAAATAGCCTGGGCCTGAACCGTTTAGGGCTTTATAGGTAATGACCAGCACTTTGTATTTAGTCCAGAAGCAGACCGGCAGCCAGTGGAGCTGCCGTAACATGGGAGTTGTCCACTCCCTGTATGATGCTCCAGTTGGTAATCTGGTTACTGATCTCTGAACCAGTTGGAGCTTCTGAAGTATCTTCAAAGGCAGCCCCACGTAGAGAGCATTGTAGTAGTCCAAACGGGAAGTAACCAAGGCATGGACTACCATGGTCAGTACAGAATGATAGTGCTATAATTCCACTTTAACGGACTGGACTTTTAAAATTGTCTATGAATTCTTGAGTTTCCCGGAGTGGAATAAAGTACCACAAGTTTCTATGATGAATGAACCCCTGCTAAATATTTGTATACATACACAATCTATATATATAAAAATGCTCTGTGCATAATGAGTACCTTAAAAACAAAAGAACAAATGAATGAAATCACACCAAATTTGGCAACAAAACGTCTCACAACACAAGGAGTGACCATCACTCAAAAAATTATGATTTTGTCATTTGGGAGTTGCAGTTGCTGGGATTTATAGTTCACCTACAATCAAAGAGAATTCTGAACTCCATCAATGATGGAATTGAACCAAACTTGGCACACAGGACTCCCATGACCAACAGAAAATACTGGAAGGGTTTGGTAGGCATTGACCTTGAGTTTGGGAGTTGTAGTTCACCTACATCCAGAGAGCACTGTGGACTCAAACAATGATGGATTTGGACCAAACTTGGCACATGCACTCAATACGCCCAAATATGAACACAGATGGAGTTTGGGGGAAATAGACCTTGACATTTGGGAGTTGTATTCACTGGGATTCACAGTTCACCTACAATCAAAGAACATTCTGAACTCCACGAACGACAGAACCAGGGCAAACTTCCCACACAGAACCCCCATGACCAACAGAAAATACTTAAGGCCATCCAATCCAACTCCTTTCATCAGGGCAAGAAAATGTAATCAAAGTCCTCCTGACAAATTAGCCATCCAGCCATAGATAGATAGATAGATAGATAGATAGATAGATAGATAGATAGATAGATAGATAGATAGAGATAGATTGAGAGTTGTATTTGCTGGGATTTATAGCTCACCTACAATCAAATAGCATGATAGAATTGAACCAACTGGGGCATACAGGACTCCCTTGACTAACAGAAAACACTAGAAGGGTTTGGTGAGCATTGACCTTGAGTTTGGGAGTTGTAGTTCACCTACATCCAGAGACTACCATGGACTCAAACAATGATGGATCTGGACCCAACTTGGCCCAAATATTCCATATGCCCAAATATGAACACAGATTGAGTTTAGGGAAAATAGACCTTGACATTTGGGAGTTGTAGTTAGTGGGATTTATAGTTCACCTATAATCAAAGATTGTTCTGAACCCCACCAATGACAGAATTGGGCCAAACTTCCCACACAGAACCCCCATGACCAACAGAAAATACTCAAGGCCATCCAGTTGAACTCCCTTCACCAGGGCAAGAAAACGTAATCAAAGCCCTCCTGACAAAGAGCCATCCAGCCATAGATATAGATAGATATGATTCATACACACATATAGTACCATAGATTTGAAAGGGAACCCTGAAGGACAATTATATGTTGCCTGTTCCAGAGTAGGCAAACCAGACACTCTCCACATCAACACTGATAAAGCAACAGCAAGAAATACTGTTTACCCACAAGCATAAAGAAATGACATTTATTAGAAACCAACACTTTCTCATTACTTTCTTTTCCAGATCAACAGACTGGGCCACAGCAACGCGTGGCAGGGGACAGCTAGTGTGTATATACATTTAGATAGTTACAGAGAGAATTTGGATTTACTACTTTAAGCATCAGAAGCCAAACCTCATCTGCCTTTACTTCACTTATCAGGCTGCTTTCCATACACCAATGATCATTTTGTCTCAAAGTTCTTTCAGAGTTGTAAGTATACTCTCTTCAACCTATAATGTTTGCAGTTGCCTCTAGATGTCTCCATCCACCATAAGATTACATCCTCATCCTTTTCTGATGAATTGGTCATCTTTGTGCTTAGCACTGGCTAGCTGAATTTGAAAGCACTGCTATGCCATTTAGATACTTTGGGTAGAAAAAATATTGGGTTATATATTTCTTCTGGTGTTTTTCCTTTGCTTTTTTTTTTGTTTGTTTTTGCCCAGAAGCACTAACAGTTTGTTGCTATCTATTTTGTCATTTAGCTAAGGAGTGGCTATGCTGCTTGAAGAGAGTGCAAATTTCGCATTTTCGAAATTGTTTCATAGACCCTGTGTGCATATTGTATAGCCTGTCGACTATTGGTGACCCTATGATTCCCTTAAGCCCCTTCCACACAACTGTGGAAAATCCCACATTATCTGGATTATATGGCAGTGTGGACTCAGATAACCCAATTCAAAGCAGATATTGTGGATTATCTGTTTTGATATTCTGCGTTATATGGCTGTGTGGAAGGGCTCTTAGGCAAGGAATACTTAGAGGTGATTTGTCCAGTTCATTCCTAAAATATAGTCTCTGGTGTTTGGTATCCCATGGCGGTGTATTGTGTTTTGCAAAAATGCTGAACACACATCAAATAACCTTTTTTAGTAGTATATATCATCACCTCTTTGAGTCCTGCTCTGGGAGAAAACTGGGATAGAAATAAATAAATAAATAAATATTTAATATGCTGATTAGGTGCCCTCTTGTCTTGATGAGGAGATATTGGAAACATATTTATTTATGTATAAATTGTATGTACTTTACAAGTACTAAAAAGTATAGAAAAATCAAGTTCTCTCTGTATAGAAAGAATGCTAACAGGACAAGCAAGCTGCTGTCCAGGCACAGCAAGAGAGGGGCTGAAGAGGGGGGCATGTTACCTATATATTCCAGGAGAGAGAGAAGCCTGTCCTAGTTGCAACAGACTGGTACAACTAGGCTCTAAGTAAGGAGCCCACCTCTCCCTCATGATAGGTCAAAGTGGGCCCCTTGATTGATGAATGTAAGCTGTAAGCTGCATGCTTGCTCTTTAGAAAGAAATACACAGAGACATGCCTTTTGTATGTTGGAAGGTAGAATTTGATATTCATATGATGCTAAAATGACGCAGAGAATGACGGCAACGTATGTAGACGCATGTTCTTTGTTTGCCTGAATTTGGAGGCTATAAAAGGGGAAGTCAGCCCCTCTATCAGGGCTCTGGATGATTTTGGACATAGTCCACTCCAGGGTCCCAGCTGGAAATAAAATCCGTGCTTTTGAGACCTCCGGAACTCTCTTTGTCTCTTTTCTTCAAACCTTCTCCCTGCCATTTCAGTCTCACAATGTATATTCAAAGTCAGCTCAGTCTGGACCTACACTGCCCTATATCCCAGGATCATATGCTTATGTTGCACTAGAGCCCCAAACCACCTTTTCACCACACACCACACTATGTCTAAAATAGTCCAGTAAGATAAAAGTTTATTAAAAGATGAGTATATAAAAATCAGTAACTTTATAAAGAAGCATCAAAGGTCAAAAAGCAGTTTCAAAGGAATCACAGAAGCCCAAAATCCATTTAAAACATAGTCTTCATATGGAATCTATAAACATGATAGCAGGAATCCAAGCTG